CAATGACCTTTCAAGGTCCCTTCTAGTTCTAGGACATGGGATATCTCCATTTATTCATTTATTTTATTAACTGGACAGTGCTGCATGTCCTCTACCAACCAGTTGGGATACCAGCTCCTAGCCCGGAGTCAGATAACTGGAGTATATTATCTCTTTCCCCTGGCAGAGGGATCAGCAGCCTGGCGCACTGTTGCCAAGATCTTCCCATCGAAGTTTCATCCCACTAAAGCACAAACAATGTCTGGAATTTAGCAACTGCCACATATTTTCATGTCAGTAAATATAGCCTAGGGCCACCTCCCCACCCCCTTAATCAAGGGACTGTCCATTGTAGTCAGATTTAAAGGGACAGTTCGGAAAGATCTGGATGCTCCCAGCAGCTCTGCCAATGCCCCTCAGTCCTGACTCCCAGCTGTTATTCCAGGCTTCTCCTGGCCAGCCTGTGCCCCCCCCATTCCTGCACCCCCTGCTTTGGGAGAATCAGGTCCCAGGATCAAAGCTCTCCTCATTCTGTCATATCTGGATGCTCCTCCTGCGGCGGGGCTGGTAGTGAAATCCCTGCGGCAGAACGAGCGTCTTCTCTTTAGTCTTTCGTTCCGCTCTGGGCAGGGGCTGGGAGCCTGGGCTGGGGGATGCAGCTGATCAGAGAATTGAGGAAACATGGCCCAGGGGCTGCAGGGGCCAGGCTGGGAGTCAGGCGACCTGTGGGCTGGTCCCGGCTCTGCCACTGGCCTGCTGGGCGACCTTGGTCAAGTCCCTTCCCTGCTCTCTGCCTCGGTTTCCCCCACCAGGAAAAAAGAGGCTAAACCTGATGGAGCCCCAAAGGACTTGGTTAGTGTTTGGGAAGCCCTGCGAGAGTCCCAGGGCAATGCAGCGTTTGCGATAGCAACCAACAGCTCCTGCTGCTGAAGCCCTGGGATTTTGGCTGCCTCTAGCACCTAGTCCTTTGTCAGAGACCTGTTCCCCCCCCGCCGTGTTTCTGCACCCACAGATTTCCCCTTTTCATCTCTTCTTCCTCCAGCCACTTGAGTCATGGTGCAAATAACGCAGCTCCGCAAGCCCTGATTCTGGTTTGCCCCTCTCTGGCAGAGCCACGCGGTCTTGAAGTGAGTGTCACTGGAATTCATGCCGCCGGCTGACAAATGAACATACGGCCGAGAATTGGGCCCTTTGACGTCAATAGAGCGATGCTGATTTGCACCAGTGGTGGATCCGAGCCAGTGTCCTTTTCCCTTGAGATAAAACTGGCCATCAATCCCACCCGCGCCACAAGCCCCGTCTGGAGGAAAGGCCAGGACTGCGTTCTTAGCATTTAGCGGCTCAGCGCCTCGCCACGAGGGTCGTGTGCTACCCAGGAGCTTGGGGCTTTTGCTCGGCTCCAGGCCCGGGGAATTCTGCTGGCAAGCAGCCAGGCGTTGTTTTTTCCTGTTGGGGGACGACCCCGCCCTTGAACGGGCCGCTGAACTACCTCGAGCTTGTTGTTTACCCAGGGCCTTGTGCGTGCTCAGCAGGGCAGAGGTGTTTAGCAGCGTGGCCTAGGGGACAGAGCCCTCGAGGTGCTTCCGGAATAGAAACAATCGTTTTGGCCCAGGGTCATACAGCAAGTCAGGGGTTGGGCCGGGGACAGAACCCAGGAATCTGCTCTACCCACTAGCTCAGCGGTTCTCAAACTTTGGGACTGGTGACCCCTTTCACACAGCAAACCTCTGAGTGCAACCCCCCTTATACATTAAAAACACTTTAAACATATTTAACCCCATTATAAATGCTGGAGGCAAAGCAGGGCTTGGGGTGGAGGCTGCCAGCTCGCAACCCCCCATGTTATAACCTGGCGACCCCCTGAGGGGTCCCGCTCCCCCAGTTTGAGACCCCTGCACTAACTCAGGGTGCCTCATGTAGACAAGCCCCAGAGCTGGCAGAATGGCGGGGGAAGGAGACACTTTAAAAAAGATCATTCTCGGTTTTCCTTTCGTATGTGAAATCTTTCCGCTTTTCTTTCGGAGCTCGGGAGGAACCGAGAACGGAGCCAGGGGAAAGTTGGGTCGAAGTGGTAAATAGTTTCGGCTGGGGTGGGAAATGAGAAACGTCGAAACGGGTTTACTTTGTGTCAGAAAGACGGTCAGGAATTTACCTTCACCTTGATTTTAAAAACCATTACACCTATTAAAAAAACCCAAACCCCTCCCTAAACTAAACAAAAAATACTCGGTTTGGGTGGTTGAAAACCAGGCTTTTCCGAATTGGCCACTGAACCGAAGACTTGTTGGTTCACCCGGCCCTAACCAAGCATCAGAAATGGTTGTGGGGGTGGTGAGATGGAGCCAGCCGCTCTGTTATCTCGGAGTCTCTCCTAGTAACTTGCGATTGGTTCTTTCTTGCCTTGTTGTTTCCCTGAGCCTCAGATAAGAGCCCTAGGCTGAATGCGTGCGGAACAGGGCAGTCCGCGCTCAGAACCTGCTGCAATTCCTGGCTGGGTCAGTAGGGGGTGTGAATGCCAGAGGGGGTATTACAGGCAGTGGCAAAACCAGAGCTGGCTGCATTAGGGTTACTCCCAATTGCCCTAATCTAACCTCAAGCCGGCCTTGCAGCCCCCTCCCCCGCCCCGCCGAGAGAGCCAGGCAGGGGAAGGACGAGCAGGAACCGGGTACTAGAGAATACAGAAGTCCTGCCTGTCGCCTCCAGCCCTCGGAAGGGGAAGTGAGCGCGGAGGCCCGGGCCGGGGGAGCTGCGCTGGGAGGTGTGTAAAGAGGTGTGTAGAGAAGGCCAAGGTTCCTGCGTCTCGCCCCTGCCTCTGAGAGAGGGCCCTAAATCGGTGTCCAAACTCCCCATGCGTAACATGGACCTCAGCCTAAGCACCCTGCCCCTCGAACTCAGCTCTCCCTGCAGGACTTCCTCTGTCCCTGACCCGAGCTCCCGCTCCCTTCATCAGCCCCGGCCTTTCTCCTATCCCGGGGGGCCTCCCCATCCCTAGCAGCTTTGGATAGGATCCTGATCGATGCAACGGTCCTGCCTCTTGTCCCCCCCCCTGCAAGGTGGGGACCTCTCTCCATAGGGGGCTGGCAGCCAGCAGGCCAGACGGCTGCCCCATGGATCCCACAGCACCTGTGTTTGTCTCGGTGCCTTGCGAAGGGCGGATCCCAGGCGCTGTGAGGGACGTTGTTGAGAAGGGGAGTTGGGGGTGGTGGGGTTGTGTTGTGTAGGCGGAGCAGATTGGGGTCCAGGGAGGTTTTTTGGGGTCTCCTGCTCTTCCCGTCCCCGCCCCCCCAGGGTTGAACAGCTGGGCCATGATCCAGCATCGGGGTTCCCTGCCCTCTTGGGACCAGTTCCTGGAGAGGGCAGAGGATTGGAGCAACCCCAAGCCTCCCATCTCCCCCACGCTCGTCATTTCCTGCTTCAAGCCTCAAATTGAAACCCTCTCTTCCTTTCCCCCCCAGCAGGAGCTGTTCCCCCCACCCCAGAGTGAGGCAGTGGGGCTGCCCCATGGCGGGCAGGGGCTGGTGGTGCAGGCAGTCAGCTGTCACTGGCTCTGCAGTGGTCCTAGGAAAGGGGTCTGCTTTGTAGCTGCGGGGGGCGGGGGGAGAATCTTAAGGACTCTTCCTACCCCAGTCCAGCCCCCCCAAAATTTAATCCTAACTTCACTCTCCCCTCCCCCCAACTGGCGCTAGGTGCTGTACGAACACAGAACAGACAAGCAGCTTCCAGGCTGAGCCCTGCTTGGTCGCGCCGTGCTTGGAACTGGGTGTGGGGAAGATCTGAGAGTCATTCCCACTTCTGGCCCTAGGTCACTCTAGGGGAGAGGCAGTGGGGACTAGTGGCAGCCTAGGGTCCCCCTCCCCATGCCCCTCAGGAGAGCTGAACTGACCTGACCTTGGGCCTGTCCCTTCCCCTGAGTTCACCCCTCCCACGTGTTCTCTGTCAGTCTCACCTGGAAGCTGTTGGGGCCAGGAGGGTGTCACCCCATCTGTTTGTACAGCCCCTTGCACAGCAGGGCTGCCGTGGCAATGGGGTGTGTGTCTCTAACCTGCCCAGCATCAGCCCTTCCCTCCAGCCGCAGCCGGTCCTGGGCAGATCAGCAGCCTCACTGATCATTTTTTAAAATCCTATATTAAAAACCAGGGGCCCAATTTATACTCCCAGGGGCCGCCCGGGGTGTGTGAGCAGTAGCAGGGCCAGGGGGTGTGAGCTCCCCTAGAAGTGTGTGTGGGGGTGGGGGTGGGGGGGGTGTCCCTCGGGGGCGAGGCC